AAACCTTGGAGAAGGTCCTAGAATATATGAAATATACTCCATCTTGGGTTCCTCCTCGCCAAGGGCTGAGCTTATTTTCTGAATAGTTACTGCAACCATCTCCTCCCTCGCTCCATCTCTAAGTTACTATTAGGAATCCAGTCTCTCGAAAGTTCTTCCTAGATGTTTAGTTTCCTCCTTTCCCTTTAACTATGTACTAGTGAAAGATGAGAAGATAGCAAACACACTCTTCAAAAACGGAAAAAAAAATATGCATCATTTCTTCAGCATCACAACTCAGACACTTAACCACCTCCAAACACTTAATGATCTACCATGTTTATCATATAAATATATGTAAACCATATATAGATATATCTCATATTGCTCCGACGAGATTTCAATTTAACCCAAGAGAAAGCACAAATGCCACAGGAGAATCGTCAAATATTCACCAGCCATCAGAGGGAGCTGGGACACCCTGTCTCGAATCACAGAAACCACAAAGAGAAACTGGCACGATGGCTCTGGTGTCTAAAGCAGGAGAGGGTTAATACAGAGCTCTTTCCTAAGGCTGCCAGAGCCTCAGTGACCCCCCGGGTCTGGTGATCCATGCAGGAGCTCCTGTGTGTCACTGTGCACAAGGCCTATGAGAATTAGCATGTATTGACGGCTAGGTGCCAGCTACGGACGCAAGCACTGTACACGTGTGAACTCATTTAATTCTCATACCAAACAACTGAGGCTCCCCCATTTCACAAATGAGGAAACTGAGGTCCTGAGAGGCTAACCTGCTCAAAGATCCATAGTGAGGAAATAGCAGAAGCAGGACACAAACTCAACGGGCTGGCGAGAGGCTAAACTCCTAACTTACCACTTCCCCAAACTGCCTCTAGAAATGGCTGATATCACTTCCCTCAGAGTATACTTCAAGGTTCACAGGCATCTGACCAGCTCCAAGGACATCATTTGGATCTGGCTTCTTGCGGTACGCGGGCCTCTCACCGTTGTGGCCTCTCCTGTTGTGGAGAACAGGCTCCGGACGCACAGGCTCAGCGGCCATGGCTCACGGGCCCAGCCGCTCCGCGGCATGTGGGATCTTCCCGGACCGGGGCACGAACCCGCGTCCCCTGCATCGGCAGGCGGACTCCCAACCACTGCGCCACCAGGGAAGCCCGGATCTGGCTGCTTTTACCTGTACCTAGAAGTGTACTTCTGGGGCTCTCAGGTGGAGGCTGGATTTCTACACAGCTTTTTCCTCAAGCCCTCCGGTTGCTCTCTCACAAAGCCAACCTGGGAAGAAACTCTCTAAAGCACGAAAGATGCAGTTCCTCACATCCTCTTAGAGGGGACATATAAAGTCTCTGGTCCGTGGGCTTTATTTTTCCTTCATAATTGGAAGGAGTAGATCTCTTTTCTCTGTTAATCTCCTTTCTTCTTTAAGACAAAACGTGTTTGAGCTGAAGAAACAAATAATGGAGAGCAAGGGAAAAAGGAGAAAAAGGAAAAGCAGAGGAAGAATCAAGATGATGTTAAAAAGTAACTGTTAGTCATCGGAAACGCAAACAAAAACGGCAATGAAGACACCACTTCACAACCACTGGGACGGCCAAAATCAAAGGCAGATGACAACAAGTGTTGATGAGGAGGTAGAGAAATGTTCCACCTACTAAATGTTCCTCCTACACTGCTGGTGGAACTGTGAAATGGTGTGTTTCTTTGGAAATCAATCGTGCAGCTCCTCAAAAGGTTAAGCCACACAGTTGCCATATGACCCAGACTTTTCAGAAGTTTCACGCCTGGCTGTGTACCCAAAAGAAATGTCCACACACACACTTGTACATGAATGCTCACAGCAGCATTATGCATAATAACCAAAAAGTGGAAAGAACCTAAGTGTCCATTAATTGATGAATTTTGAAAATGTGGTATAAACATAGAAGGAAATATTATTTGGTAACAAAAAGGAATGTAGTACTGAGACATGCTACAGCATTGACAGACCTTGAAAACATTATGCTGGTGAAAGAGGCCAGTCACAGAAGAACACATATTACTTGATTCCATCCATATGAAATGTCCAGAATAGGCAAACAGAGACAGAAAGGAGATTAGTGGTTAACTAGGGTTGGTATATTGGAGAGTAATGAAGAGCAACTATTAATGGACACAGGGTTTCTTACTGGAATCAGTGGTGAGGGTCCTCAACTCTGTTGGTAGAGGAAAAGCCATTAAACTGTATACTTTAAATGAGTGAACTGTATGCTATGTGAACTCTCTCTCAATGTGCTCATATTTTTAGAGAGATTTAAAAGAACTGGTTACAAACTAAAGCTACTAGTCTATCCCAGGATAATCTGTGTCTTTGTGAATGAGAAACCATAATTGCAGAAGTGTCAGAAACCCAAAATCATAAGCGGGAAAGGAAAAATCAGAAGGAAAGGCTCTATGGAAAGGGGAAGGGGAAATGATTTCTATTTAACTGAATTTCAAGATAGTGGGTGTGCTGGGGTCACATCACCGCAAATGCATAGATATTACACCGTGGGGTGCCTAACACTAAATTCAGACTTTCTCCTCACCCGAAAGCTATCAGTGCTGAAAATAAAGGATCTAGAGGAGAGGTGAGGTTTTTAAAAAATGCAAAGGCTGACATTCACTTTTTGGAGACTGAAGTAAAAAGTTCACAAGTGTAAGGATCCTCTGTTATATTGCATCCCATGTTCACAAAATAAGAATATTTGATTAGCATCTAAAATGTACACCATTTCCTAAGATAAATTTGAGTCAGAATTCTAAATTCAACTAGAAAAAGTAAAGCCTTCACATTCTAGAGCTAAGTGTAACATACTGACAGCCAGACCAGCGCTGGCACTGGTTCACATTCAGGTAGAAAGAGTTAAAAGTGAAAGGTTCGCCAAGCCACCCTGTCATGGATCTCCTTATAATGAGACTTTAGCAGAAATCAATGCAATCTATGACTAAAGTGAATCCAGTCTCCTAACGTGGCAATACATCAAACGATAATATGGAAGCCTCATGGCTATTAGCAGATACAACGTTAACACATTTTTGGAAACAGAACAGTTAGATAGTAGAGAACTTCCTTGACATTTTTTTTTTAGTCTAACTTTCAAATTATCACCAAGCCCTTTATTTATTCTCACTACATCTTAATCAAGCATCATTTGTGTGGCAAATCAGCTTATGGCTTCCTTTAAAAACAGGCGAGCCATTAACTGACCCAATGTGTTGGCAGCTCTTTTTAGACAGGAACAAATGATGCCTCTTAACTTTGTGCTGGAAGCTGCAGAGTTTGATTTCATGCATATGCAAAAAGAAACATTTAAAGGATCCTGCAAAGTCAGCTAACAATCTTCTGGGAGTTTAAAGAACAGCAACAATAACAAAAACCCTCCTTCACACTCCCCCCACCGAGGTTTATATATTAAATATGCTTTTAAAGATACTTGACATGACTTAAAATGCTCTTTCCATAGTCCTCCAAATCCTTGACTGTCATAAAGTTTAAGTAGTGCTCTTATGACTCAAGGTCAGGGTACAGTCTTTTCACTTACAAAACTGTTGAGCTCAAGAAAGTATACCAAATGTTCCTCAGTGCTCTATCCTAACTTTTCCAAGAAGTTAACCGTCCCTTCCTCTTCTTCGTGAATTAGTGCACTGCATTATCTTTGGCCCCTGTGTTAGAAGCACTGACCTTTCCCCACTCCACCTGTTTGCATTAGGGTTGACAAGTTCCTTGTCTGACTACCAAAGGCAAATCCACTGTACATTTCCCTAATAGGTGACATGAGCTCTGGGAATGAAAACTTGTCCCCAGATAATGCACCACCCACCATGTGGCCAAAGCTTGGTACTCCATTTCAGTAGCATTAACTGTTTATTTTCTTTAAAAGCCAGATTTTGGTAATGTTTTGATTCGGTGACTCCAGTCTGAAAATGCATCTGTCACTTCCACTCCCTCCTCCTCCTTCCGGATGCCACAGCCTCAAACCCAGCAACCACTCTGGGGAAGGAGGGCAAGGTTCTCCGGACGTACAGAAACAACAAGTAACCCTGGACTCAAGGAGGCAAGGCTGCTAAAACGAGCTGCTTTTGCTGACAAGCCTGGAGAGAACTTTGTTGTTCCTACCACGGAAGCACTGCTATG